GATCTCACCCAGCGGCTTCATGTAGATGTTAAACAACATGGGAGACAGTAATAAGGAACAGAAACTCCTATGAGAAGTGCTTCTAATCCTGGAAGGTTTACATGGGACCCATTTTGAATCTATGCTAATATCTTTATTAATAAAGTGCTAAAACAGCACTAGTTTGAGTCTATCTAAGAAATGCCTACACTATAAACGAGTCATAGTGAGGTACTGCCATGAGGACATGACTGATTGCAGCCCTTCAACCAGTTTGTGATACCCTAGCCTGATGATTAAGGATCATGGTCCTATCCATGATAGCTGGCATCTAAATATTAAACAGCAAGTGAGATGGATCAAAAGGGCCTCCTGCTTTCAAATCTTGAACATTTTAAGGCACTTCTTTCTTTTGCTTCTTTGAGCAAAGGAGGAAAATGATCAATCTTACCTTTGTAGGATTAGATATTCAAGTGGAACAAATGAAGCTAACTACCATGTACACATTGCTTTGACTTTCTAGGATATAAATGTATGTGTGAATGTGTGGGTGTGCTTGTAAGTGTTCATATCCATCAATCTGCTTACTTAGCTAGTGAGCTGTCTATCCAAATACACACACATGTTCATATGCACACACATACACACACTCCCAAGAACTTGGAAAATTGATCTTTTAGTCCATGGCTCCCAGAATCTCCTAATGACCATGGCAGCTGTGGTTGTTGTCTCTCAAAAGTTACTTTTTTCCAAACTCTGATGCATGCATAGGAAAGGGGAGAGACATTTCACCACCACTGGTCTTTGGAGCTGGATCTTAGGGTGCCCCCCCACCCCCCCACCCCCATTTACAACTATGCAGGAATTTGTGATTGCATAAGGAAATGTCATATTTTTTTCTCATAGCCATTTTTGAGATTTAAAAAATACCTTGAAGAATAGCCTGTTGAACAGTATTTATTGGAGGCAATGTTTGAATGAAGTCCCTTACATTATTGAAACAGGTGCATTATCATTTTCTTTTTAGAATCAAGTAACATAAGATGGTTCCCTTCAGTGACTCCACTCTGGATTTTGCTCTCAATTTTAGTGGAATTCTCCAAAGTGCTCAACCTCATTTGGAGAATAGGGTTCAGGACCATGGGTAATGCTTTGAAATTTAGGAGTAAAGTTTGGAACAGATATCCCACTCAAATAACAGTGGACTGCTACTACTGTTGGGTTCTAACTAAGTTGTTGTTATGTTACATTTTCCTGCTTTGTGTAAATAGAGAGTGGGCGTACCTATAGCAGTGGTTCCCAACCTTTTTTTAAAATCAGGGACCACTTGACCAGGGACCATTCTCCAACATTAGTACCAAAAGGGTTGCGAATCAATTTTTGGTCAACTTTAGATTTGGGGAGCTGATTCAGAAAATTGCATTGGATAGACCATATCCACTATAGTTTCTGATATAGAACATATGCTATCCAGTAGTTGCCATCTGCTCACCCACAGAAAATCATATTTAATAATCTAGAGCAGTGGTTCTCAACCTGGGGTCCCCAGATGTTTTTGGCCTTCAACTCCCAGAAATCCTAACAGCTGGTAAACTTGCTGGGATTTCTGGGAGTTGTAGGCCAAAAACATCTGGGGACCCCAGGTTGAGAACCACTGCTCTAGAGCCACAGGTTGAGAACCACTGACCTATAGAGAGAGGAAGATACAGATGGTGGCTATAAAGTTCTCAGCCAAAATACAGTAGAAATTAACTAGGATAAGAACATTTTAGCTACACTCCTAGTAATATGGAAGGAAAATTATAAATTATCATTACAATACTAGTGATTTCTGATACTAAAAACATAGAGCTGAAAGAGACTTCAAGGGTCAACCAGACCAACCTTCTGTCATGCAGCAATACAAAATCAAACCCCTCTTGACAAATGGCATCCAACCTCTTTTTAATACCTCCCAAGATTTTACTCTATCAGGAAGATCACCCTAAATTTTAGGTAGAATATCCTTTCCTGTAGCTTGAATCCATACCTCTGTAGCCTAGTCTCTGGAGTATAGAAAACAAGCTTGTTCCATCTTCAACATAGCATCCTTTAAAATGTTTAAACATCCTGTCAGGCCCGTAAACCTGAGATATCCTGTCAGACCTGTAAACCACTACTTCTGCTCCACTCAGCAAGGAGTCCACTACCAACTCCTACATGTTTCCTTTGGGAATTGGCAGGGGCTTTTCCCCGTGCTGAATATTCCAAGATCACCTGCACATTCTCCAAGGACTGGCACTGATCCCCTGGTTTCCCTTCCTCATCACCACTAATTATGGAGAAATCTTTGAATCAGTTCTGTAGATCTAATTTTTCAGACCAATGTCTGGTAATTTATTTCTGTGTCACATTTCTCCAAATATTTGGGACTGTCCTCCCTGTGTGCTCCATACTACAAGCACTTGATTACTCTAGAACCGAAAGGAATCCTCTTTTTTTCCTTTTTTTTTGGGGGGGGGGGGGTTATCTAAGGTAGGCAAGATGCATCCTGCCACAAGATACTTTGGTATGATCAGTGACCCCAGAATTCTTGAATCAGCATGTGGAGCTACTTTTTTTTCATGTCTTCGCAGCATTGACATCTGGATGCTGTACTGGAGAAGAGGAAGAAGAGCAATTTTTACACTGAAATCAGGGTAGAAGGATACATCTTAAATACTTAAGTAACACCCCCACGCATAGATGTGTGGGTGGATATATAGGTGTATGAGCCTAGGAAGCCTAGGAAACTCATACAGGAGCCTAGAAAGCAGAAATTCAATTCACTTTATTTGATGGAATGTTAAACATAGTGATGTTACAATGTGTTCAGCAAAGAAGCATAACACACAAATAGTTGACCCAACCTGCCCTTTTGCCTAAACAATTGGAATAGACTGGGCTGAATGATCTGTCCATGTGCTTCCTCCCACCCTTGCTTCCCCTTTTTGCCCTTCTTCAACAGGGAAAGAGAGACAATGCAGAACGTCAGTCTCCAATATAGATACTAATGAGGACACTTCCAGCTGAGCATGCCCTCAAAGATGTAAACCTTTCTGCTGCTTTTTACAGAAGCTGTAAAGTGCTAATGGCAGCTGGTTTCCGGGTTTTCAGTGCCTCATAAGAGTTACTGTGTGTGTGTGTGTGTGTGCATAAATCGAATGATGGTTTCTTTTCTTTTCTTTGGAAGTTGGAGGAGTTATTGTTTTCCTCTATTTATCATGCATTTCGTTAGAGTTTTAAAGTTCTGGGATCATTTTAAACCAGTTTTTTGATTGGATCACCTTTAAATTTGGCACATGCTTTTATAGATTAATCTTGTCTTCATCTGTAATCCAGTAACACTAGTTGTAGTCCTCAGAGGAACAGCTGAAATGTGTTATTATTTATTATTTACTACATTTATTTACTACATTTACTACTATTATTTACTACATTTACTACTATATAAATGTAGTAAATTCACTACTATACAAATGTAGTAAATAATAATAAATCAGCATTATGATTTATAAGTGTGCATTAACATACAAAAACCACTGTTTTGAATAAATATTACTTAAACTATGACCCATTCAACACTACTGTATATTATCTGATTTGAACTGAATCAGACAGAACTAGCAGTGTAGATTCATATAATCCAGTTTAAAGCAGATAATGTGAATTATCTTCTTTGCTAATCTGTATTATATAGCACTGTAGAAGGAGTCTGCATGGTTTTCTTAATTTAGGTAGTGTTTCTAAACAATTTGCAAAAATTCAACTATTTGCAATGAAGATGTAACATTATATTCAGATTATGGCTTATCCTCTGGTTATTGTGCTGTTGCATCTAAGTACACCTTATGAATTTAGACATACTGCTATTGTGCACCAGAGGCTTAATATTATTAGTATACATATTGTCTGTCTTAATTGTTGTATTCCATATTGTAGAATGAAAACTTCCTCTCCTAATTTCATTTAAATGGGGCCAAGCACTTTACCTGCCCTTTCCCACCAATGCTTCCTTTAAACCATGCTACGATATGTATACATTATTAAAGTGTTGTTGTTAACTACAGTCATCCAACTTAATTCTGATAATGTAGTTTTCATCCAGTACTTAATGGTGTATTGTAAATTGACAAGAGTGGAAGAAAACATGACATATGGAAATTCCAGTCTTTGCTTTGCTTGTTATTGAAATTTGGCTTGCAGAGACAGCTGGTATGATTCAGCCTAAGAGCAGTTTTAAATATTTGTCCCTGATTTAAAAATCAATTATTTCAATTTCTTTTGGAAGATATTTAATCTGTCATGGGGACCCAAAGCCTGACACCTATTCTGTTTACTATTATTCAGCTGGTCATATTTTATCCCTTGGGTATGTCTATTGGACTGTCACCAAGGACACAGCTTTTGGGATTATATATCCTAAAGATTTAGGTTCTGGCCAAAGAGATTTTCCTGGGAAAAAGATGAGTACAAATGGGATATTCAAGATGAATGTGCCCTTTGACTTCAGTTTCAGCTGGCTGGTTTTCTTTTAGAGGTTTACCAGTCAGCTTTGTTTTTGATGTTAGAGAAATAACTCTGAGACATGTATGAGAATGACATATCGATGTATCTTGTATTGTTAAGTATTGCCCAAATGTATTTCCCACTTCTGAGTTTCAGATTTTGTTCTCAGTAGAGGATGCAAACACATTGAGTTACTAATCTACAAAGAAGCCTTGATTTGTGTTTTTTTCTATAAATGGAGGGTTACCCACTTTTCACTTTGAGAACAGCTTTTCCTTTCTCCATCACTACGAAATTTACTTGTACTCAGCACAAACTGGGAAAAAGTTGAAGCCAAAAGGTGTCTTTATGTCTTTATTTAGGAACATATGGAAATGCTGAACCTCAAGGAAAACATAGAGGAGACTCGCTTGTTGACAGACCATTAACCTTCCTGGGGTTTTCTCCTCCCATCTCCACCTTTCCCACCTTCTTTCTTACTTTCTTGCTTTCAGCAACCCTTGGAAAGGAAAGACAGCCAAAACAGCTCTCAGCACAGTGTCTCCAGCCACCATAGCACACACACAGCATCACCTGTCCACAGCACTCAGGTGCTTCCTGACTACTCTGCCACTGAAGCACCACCTGTGGACCAACCGGACAACACTGGACAGAAGAAGCCAGATCCATTCAAAATCTGGGCCCAGTCCAGGAGCATGTATGAAAGCCGACGTAAGTATCAGCCGAGTTAGTTCTAGTATAGTAACATCTCTAGTGAATAGCATTGCTTTTGTTATTAGTTTCAAGAGCATTGTCCTGGAATTGGGAAATGAATAAATGTGTAATTTTGTTTGATAATATGATGCATTCAGTGAATGAAGTTATATGTGCCTTGGAGTGGGCGGGATGGAGAAAGAGGACACTGAGAAGCTACAGTGACTGGCAAATTACACATAGTTGACATTAATTATTTTTACCAGTAGTGAAGGAGCTTTGATAGCCTACTAGAATAAGTGGAGTTACAGCATAATTGGAAGAAGTGATAGTCAAGTATTTTCAGTACTAAGGATCCCCCTACTGTTCTGTGTTTATTGATTCATCCCTATCTTTCTTTCTTTACAATCAATTTTCAAGTGGAGATTTAAAAACATGTTTCTGGTTGTTCAAAAATTTTCTGAAGAGGTATTGTGGTTGGCAACGTATTCTATGCCCCTTCAGTTATTACATTATATTGTTCTAGTCACTTTAAAACTATCTATTAGAGATGTAAGGGTTAAAGCCAGCATTCATTCTTTTTTCTCTAAATTTAAGAAAACACTCCATTTGCTAGTTGACCCAGATGCTGCCAAGCCATGCTTGTCTTATTATTATGTATTGTTCCAACAGTGCAGAGGCCAAATAGATAACAGTAAGCAGCTTGTATTTCTGTTTTAATAGATAATCTCTACTAATTCAGCAGGGTTTCGCTGTGTTCTAAAAATACAAACAAATGGGTTCTAATCAACCCATTTTCTACAAGTTGAATTAATACTTCAGTTACATTCTGTTAAAACACTGTTCCCAGAATTTATGGCATTCTGAAGAATGAAAATAATTTAGAACTGCAGGCATTCCCCGGGTTACAAACATCCAACTTACAAATGACTAATTAAGAATGGAGGTGAGACAACAAGAAGTGAAAGAAAACAACTGAAGCCTTATCACCATTATTGGTTTCCACAACAAGCTATTTTTTTCAAAATCCAATTCTTACAGAAAGTGAAGGTGAGGTCTTCTGAACAGAAGCACAGATAGCAAAGGAAACAACACAGGGGTGTTCACCCTTCCCTATGCTATCTAAAGCATGTGTACCTGCATGCATGCATGCATACTTACATACATACATACATATGTGTATAGAGAGAGGGGGGGAGAGGGGAAGAGAGAATCATAAAGTTAGAAGAGATCTCATGGGCCATCCAGTCTAATCACCTGCCAAGAACCAGGAAAATTGCATTCAAAGTGCCCCTGACAGATGCCCATGCAGCATCTGTTTAAAAGTCTCCAAAGAAGGAGTCTCCAACCATATGTGTGTGTGTGTGTGTGTGTGGCTGTTGTTATACTAAAAATGTACCTGTTTACCTGTTCTGACTTACAAACAAATGCAACTATTTTGTTCGTAACTTGGGGAAGTTCATAGGGAGCTAGATTTGCCCAATAAAGAGTCAGTATACAAGGTATCCTATATACTAATGTATAAGTCTATATACTAATGTATAAGTCTAAACACCAAAAAAGAAATGCCTGTTGACTTCTCTATTGGTCAAAGGGACTTCCGTACCTTACCTTTTATCAAAAAGAAGGAATCATTTCCTTCTCTGAGTAAAGTGGTGGGGAAGTGATGGCAGCAACAGCCAGAAGTGCCTAACCCCCCAAAGCGGCATTGGTGCTTTTGCCTCTCTCCAGACTAAGTCTTGACTTATCCATGGATCACGTAAAAATCCATAATTTTGGTCCCAATACCTTTGACTTATTCATGGGTATATAAGATATATAACTGAGAATGAGGAAAGGGGAAAGAAGAAACTGGAAGCATTTGGCAACATCTCATGTTTTAGCTTTATCCTTGATATAATTAACTTCATTTTCAGCAACATGGCATGTATAATGCATATACAATCTTTTATCACATGCTCTTCTGCTTTTAAAGCTTGTTTTCACAAGAGACTTGTAGATGCTTTCTATAACTTCATACCAACCCTAGTAATCCATTTTCAAATATTCATAAATTTAATTCCTACAAATAGTACTATCCATTAATTTCCAATGGGAGAAAACAAAGAGAGTATCAATGTTATGTTTTGATCTATTGGGTGCCAAAGGAATAGGAACTACAACCATAGAAATGAAAATTCTGAACAAACATAGTCTGAACTAATTAAATGCCGTTGCACAGATCGCCACATTACTGTGGCCTTGAAGACTTGATCTTCTTTCCTGCTTTTCCTTCTGCTTCTTTTTTCCTTGTGAGCTTTGTCTTTTCCATTTGTAACTTGATGGAAGGGGCCAGCCCCTAATTTTTGTTTAATTGATGTGAGTTGCTTTGGGATATAATATTTGTTTGCAGTAAGAAATGTGCACAAAACTTGATAGTGAGAAAATTCACAAGATAGAAGTCTGAACAGAAATATTTTCTATGAAATATTATGGATAGTAGTGTTGGTCCAAATTATTGTGTAATCTGGCTGTAGTACTTGCAAAGTCTTTTGTCCATTGCTAAATGTTTGCCTCTCTTCCCTCCCCCAAGAGCATGCCTCCACTGTCATTATCTGTGACCCCCTGCAGCTATTCATTATCAGATAAACAGTTAATTAGAAATTAGCTAATTAGTCATTAGGATTAGCTCAGCAGTGTCCCCCCCCCCCCCAAATTTGCTTTTTAGAAGAAATTGTCTGGGGAAGATGCTGTAGGACACAGTGACTTCTTCACCCATAGACATGTCTACAGTAAAATTGTATACATTTTTGGTAGCCCTCGGCGGCRCAGTGAGTTAAACCTCTGTGCTGGCAAGACTGAAGACCAACAGGGATGAGCTCCCTCTATCAGCYCCAGCTCCTCATTCAGCCTTCCACAAGAATGGTAAAACATCAAAACATCCAGGCATCYCCTGGGCAATGTCCTTGCAGAAGGCCAATTCTCTCACACCAGAAGCAACTTGMAGTTTCTCAAGTCGCTCCTGACACAACCAAAAAAAAGGGGGAGATATCTCTTTTGCCTTCAATCATGCATTTGAAAACCGCACATACTATGTATAGGTTGAACTCATGTAATGAAAGATTTTAATATGACCCATGGCTAATTTGAGGATCACTCTCTGGAGAGGGGAAAGTGCTGGCACCATCTCAGTGGAGCCAGCCACCCCTGACTCTGCCACCATTTTCCTGCCCAGTCATTCAAAAGGGCCCTTTGTCTCCCAGAGATGATGACAATTTCTTTTTTCATAAGAGTTAAGGTATAGTATTAACTCATACCAAAAAAAAAAAAAGGAACTACCTCTTTCTCCGAGTAGAATGGCAAAAGCTGAAAGCTTAATACAAGAAGCATCGGCTCTCTGTTGCAGTGCCACTTCTGTTCTTTTTGTATGGTGCTTTCCCTCAAAGGAATTCTGAGAGCATATAGGGGTCAGCACTTTTTCCGGCCCCCAAGATTTATTAAGCTCTCACTTTTTGCCACTGTACTCCAGGAAGTGGGTGGTTTCTTTTTTAAAAAAAAAATAGTTATGGTACAGTACCTTCTTTGACTTGTATGTAAGTTGACCAGGATTTTGGGGTTGATTTTTTAAATTAAAATTTCTAAGTTGATAGATGAGTATATATATTAGATAATAGAAGCTAGAAAAGTCAAAATTGCTGACATTTCCCTTATATACCTTTTTTGTTACTTATCTCCTACCCCCTTTCATTATATTGGTTATGATATCACTTCACTGTGGCTTCCTATTTTTGTCTAATAAGCATACAACTTCCTCTAATATGTTTGTTGAGGGGTAAAATAACTGATTGATGTATGGGAGTGAATAACGGGTATCAATCTAGAAGTATTAATCTCACTTGGAGTATGAAAAGACTCAGAGGTATAATCCAGGACAAATCTTGAGCTTCTGGCTAAGCTACTGGAAAAAGCATGCTGCACTAAGTGGATTGAGCTTGAAAGAGTTATTCTTTTTTACATAGTTACTCACCATGCTGACTGGGAGGCACTGGGATTTTGATCCCAAACAGTAACTTTTCCAACTTCTGGCTCCTTGTCTGGACAAGGAGGACTTTTTCTTGAGTTTCCAAGTCTCTGTTTTGGCTTAATGTTCTGACTTGAAGGAGTACCTAATATATCAACAACAAAGAATACGTTACTTTAGAAAACTGTTTGTGAACCATCTGTGGGTACATCATTAGGCAATGAATCCTGTTCTCAGTATGTATTATCTTTTGCTGCTAAAACTTACAGCTGAGGACTTGATCAAGATTAGCACATTCTAGTAGAATCGGACTTCTTCCCTCCTCTGCCTCAAAAGTCCACTGTATATCCTTCAGTGGCACAGGCATGGATGTGATTTAAATTTAAAAATTTAAAAACAATTAAACAATTTGTACTGTTAAAACCATTAAACTTTAAAATATTGAAATGTATTAAAATGTAAAACAAACTGTAAAATCCAAATCACACAGCATTTAAAAGCCTCATCCGTTTGAAAACATCTGATGCTAGGGAAATGATGTTACATGCTGACAAAAGGTGAGCAGGAATGGGGCCATCTTGACCTCACTAGGGAAGGAGTTCCAAAGCTTGGGAGTAGCCACTCAGCAAATGAGCTTGAAAGGTTGTTGAGACAAGAGAGAAGGGCTTCTCCAGATGATCATAGAGGGCATACTGTCAGTGATGTTGAAAACCAATTAATGAAACTGCAAAGACAGTATCATACAGCTTGAGGGATATTGTGGAGACATCATACATTGCAACCAATGATAACAGAGTATGATAGCTGTCTCTATTATAATATGAATAGAAATATTGATTCTGAAAACATCTCCTTTCTTTGCCTTTGGTTAGCCAAAATATTTTCACAGTATATGCTTATTATTTTTTTCTTTACTGTGATCAATCTTATTTCCATTTTCAGTACTACAAAATTAACATGTTTTGAAAATATTTCATTTTAAACAGAATTATTCCTAGAATATATTTAGAATTTGGAA